AACTTCAAGGTTGTCAGGAGGGGGGAGAGACATTCCAGGGCAAGTGCCTCCCCAGCCCACAGCAAGAGGGCTGGACCCTCCCTAGAATCTCACGGGTTATAGCCACTAGTTGCTTTAGCATAGGTTGAGTCTGGCGAGATTCTGCCTATTAGGTGCAAGCTAGTAAAGGAACTGAACTGTACTGGATTGCCTCGTTGCTGCTCTTGGGCTGAACCTGACACACTGGCACCACCCCATTGCTTTTAACGTGCATTCTCCATGGTGTCCCTGCTTATTCTCTTGTAATCCCTTCCTCTCCAATGAATGTAAAAGCAAACCTTAATTCCCATCTTGCTAATTATCCCAGCACTGGGGAGAGCATTCCCAAAGGCAGGGGAGTGAAGAAAAGGAGAGCAGTTGCGGTCATGGGATTTCCCACTTAGCGACCACTCCGTTTAATGACAGAGCTGCCAGTCCCAATTGTGGTCGCTAAATGAGGACTACTTGTAGCCTTTTCCTATCCTAACATAAAATGTATATTTTCCCCTAGTTTTTATAGGCCTGTGAAGATGGCTATAGGTAGGTTTGCACTTTTACATTTTGATTTGTGTTTATATGTTTTGCATATATGCCTGTTTTACTTTGAGCAAGCTGGTAAAACACGTAACACAACAAACTGAACAGCCAGTCTGCTTTAAGATGCTGGCTGAGGAATTCTGGAAATTGAAGTCCACACATCTTAAAGCTGTCATGTTTGAACAAAAGCCTCTTCTCAATTCCCTCATTTCACTCATGGCCATCTCGGGTTTTAGAAAAGAACAACTCTACATCCATATTTTCTTCCTTCTTGTTCCTCTACCCTTGAATTTCCCTTCCTGTTTTCCCATTGTTATTACATCTCTCAGATGGAGCTCACCTAAGATTGCCCTTTAACTAATCACAAGTATACATGGTTTAAAATTCTTCCTATTTACATTCTTCAAGACTTTCGTTAAGTGCTTAGCTCTCAAGAAGTACAGTGGTACCTTGGGATACGAACTTAATCCGTTCCGTGACTCTGGTTGCAACTCGA